AAGACAAAAACATACTCACAGACAAAGCATGTATAAAATCTTTTTCATTAAGAAGATGGCCACAACAGCAAGCAAGGTGTTTCAACTGTCAGTGAAGTCAAATTTCTGACGCGCTTCGGGGACAAGTCCCTTTCCTCAGAGCTGCTGACCAGCCTCTTAGACTAGTACAGATGTGTAGTGGATGAGGAGGACCGATGCTTTGAACAACGTTGCTGCAGTACCTGGGTGAAAGTGCTACTCCTCCATAGATACAATACAGTGAGTGTGTGTTGTTTACTCTATAACAAGAAGCATTTTATTGCCCAGATAACCAGATGAAAAAATATTTTTAAAAAACGTAATATAGCCATTATATCTAAGGACTGATAAGCTGCAAACTATTACATTTATGTTCTCAGATACACTATGAGAATACAAAAGACTGAGTAGAAACAACCTGTCCCCTGACAGCAGCTGCAGAGTTGGACTGTTTTTTGTCTGTGAGGGAAGCAATCTCTGTAGATCTACCAAGTCAGACCTATAGTTCTGTAATCAGAAAATGTCATGGTTTCTGCTTATTGAAGAGTACTGGCTCTTAATCACCAGGGAACATATAGGGGCTTCCCCATAGAGAGCAAGGGTGTTTTCTGCAGCATGGTGGCAGGACATAAGCTTTTCTACTCTACAGGCTGTGGCTTCTATTTTTAAGAAAACAAATTTTAAGATTTTGTAGAGCTTTGGTTTTTATACACATGGCACCCCCCCCCCCCCCCCCTGACAGATCGTACAGGGAAAAGTTTCCCATGCAATCTGTCAGATTTGAAAACAGCGCAGCAATGCGGGGCTTTGCCAACATGGCCACCTCACTCATTCACAGTTCTGCGGTGCTGTGGAGTGCCGTAGTAGTTAATTGAAGCTTCCTGTCAGTATATCTGCTTGCTCGATTGTCCCGTACAGCAAGCAGACATTTCTAACAGGTCTGCAGGAGACCTGCATGGCATCAGTGATCTACTGATCACTGGTGCAATGCTTTACAGGCTCCTGTAGACAAAAATAATAAAAGCAAATTTTTTTTTACCCACAAAAATGTGCATTTATTATTTTTGTCAAAAAGGTGAACTTATCCTTTAAACAGAAAGTTCAATTGGATTTTTAACACAAAAAAATCTGTACCATCTAGTCACAGGAGAGGTGTATGATGATGCTTCAGCGATATCTAATACAAAATAATTTTCATTATATGCTGCGGTAAGAAATATAATTAGAACGGCCCATCTTAGCCTGTGTTCCTAGTAACAGACTTGCAACATAGCTAGATAGTTATGGGTTTCTTATGTCATGGATAGAGAAAACATAGCTGAAAACATCAGGTACTTCTAAGAATATTAGAAAGAAATATATGATAGACCATTGAGATAGTTGTATGCATCAGTCCTGTGAAAGCCATTTCAACATTTTACCTTAATTTATAAACAAGAAAAAAAAAACATATAATAAACTCCTGAGCATTTCCATCCCTTTTACCCAAAAATAATTAAATATGAAAAAAACGTAAAACTGGGTTTATGACAGTTTTAAACCTTAACAATTTATTATTGCTAATTCAAATATACTGTATGCCTGCATAGATACACAGGAAAGGCAATCATCTTTTCATCTTTTAGAGCAGGGATCTCCAAACTGTGGCCTGAGGGCTGGATGTGACCCTTTGCTACCCTTTATCTGGCCCTTGGGGCACTATTCCTCCCACTGAGACAAACAATGGGGCAGTACTTCTTCCCATGAAACCAATGATGGCGTACTATTCTTCCCACTAATACCAATGGTGGAGCACTCCTCCTACTGACCAACAACCCTGAGGCCATGTTTATTCTCACTGATGTTGGGGCCAGGATATTTTCTATCCTCACTGGCCCTAATTCGGCCCTCCTAAAGTCTGAAGGACAGTATACTGGCCCTTTGAAAAGTTTGAAGACCCCTGTTTTAGGGGAACATGTGTTTTGGATATTTCTTCTTGTATAGGCCTTTTTAGGTATACAAATATTATTATTATTATTATACAGTATTTATAAAGCGCCAATAGTTTGCTCAGCGCTGTATCAAATATCAGAATGTTGTGGCCTGTTAGTCACTAGAAGAGCCAGAAAATGTTGTGTTGTACAGTATTATACCTTTTACAGTCTCAGTAAATGTAAATCGCAAGCTTTGAAGAAATTTCAGGTCTATTCTTCCTCACAATGTCTTCAGAGCAGATATGAGCTTTCTCAAAAGCCTGAATGTTTTACTCAGTCAGTAAACTTTATCATTTGATTGCACATTTACAGCTAGAAAACTATATTTAAAACATAAATACAACTATGTTATATAGGTTAGGTACGGGAAAGTTATCAGTTTTGAAAATACATTTTTATTGTCAACATGAAATTAATCAAGAATTCTAGTATAACTAAATCTCTATTTTTTTTTCTAGAAGTTTGAATATAGTAGGGAAGGGTTAAGTTTGGACTTTCCCTTACTTAATGTCCAGGTGTCCAACCTGTCCAAGACGTATAAACAAGTCTTTAGATGCACTTTTATCTGTTGTCATGAAACCTCATTAGGTTTGTTAGGGATTATTATTTTATTTCGTTTCGCATTAATACCACATTTTATTCTGTAAAGTTTCAACTTTGACAATAAACTGACTACAAATTTAGAAATTGGCTTACATTTCATACTGCAGCTAAATAAAACAAGACTCTTAACTGGGAACAGTATGACCTATGAAGTATGACTAACTGAACATTAATAGTAATTTTTACAAGAAGATGTAGTTAAACTGCTAGAGATGTTTCTTAAATAGATTATTCATCATGTAATTCTTACATCTGTGTTCCTGTGACTTTTCTAGTAGAACAATATAACTTTTTGTCAAGATGTCACTTGTTTCATATTTTCATAGCTTTTAGCCACTTTAGAGTTCTAAGAGTCCTTTCACATGGGTTTTTCATTAAGACTTGTTTGTCAGCTTTTTAGGCAGACCTGAGCAGAAGTTCCATGTAAGTCTCTGGGCATGTAGATTTAAAGGGACATCCAGCATCAGCTTCCTTTATGACTTTTGACATTTGTGGGTTTATTTACTAAAGCTGGAGAGTACAAAATCAGGCTGACTTCTGCATAGAAACCAAGCAGTTTCTAAGTTCAGCTTGTTCAATTAAGCTTTGGCAATAAGACCTGGAAGCTGATTGGTTTCTTTGCAGAAGTCAGTCTGATTTTGCACTCTCCAGCTTTAGTAAATAATCCCCTTGGTGACATGACCACAAAGGAAGTCGGTGCTCAAAGAATATCATTTGCCAGATGCTGTAATCACAGGGCTAAATGAGGAGCAAGTAGCTATATAATGCCCAGCATGTGTCATTGCTTGTGTCATAAAATGATGTCTGAAGTGGTGTCATATCTCCACTCAGAACCACCAGTCCAATATACCGTATTAGTATTAGTCCAGGGCAGGATTTAATGAGCATCAATCTACAACATCAACACAGACAAAGATAAAATAACAAAAATAGACACGAAAGGAAATAAATTACACTACTGCCCATGGGTAACAGTAAAAATCCCAAAGGGGTTGTAGCTCTTGCTCACTTTATGCAAAATTGAAAAACAAAGTTTTGGCTGGGCATACGATTTTGAAGTAAAATATTGACAGTAGGTACTATTCTCCATGCGCCCTGCATACGTTACAAAAATCCCCTCCTCTGTTCCCATCAGCTGGTGCACTTCACATTTGGGTCACATTGGATGCTGTTTTCACTTCCGCTGGCACCTCTTTCTTGTCATTATGTGTGACAAAAAAGGAACAAGAAATGAACCAAAGCAAAATTTAGCAATTTAGCTTTATATTAACTTTCACAAGCTGGAAGAAACATGGAAAGCCAAATTATTTTTCATTAATATATTCACTCAAAATGTCCAAAAATACTAAATATCAGTAGCTTATGTTTATCTTTATATTTTAAAACACATACACAGAAATAACCAAATTTGCTTTCAATCTGAAATCTCAAAAACTACCCATCCCTTAGCGTAAATGTACTTTACTGTAGTTCCTTTGTGCGTTCTTTATTCTTCTGATTGCATTACAACAATTCCAAAAATGACTTCTTTTTATTATGTTTCTTGACACATACAGTATGAAAAATATGTGGAATGTGTTGTCAATGCAGGGTGTGTTTTTTTTTTTTTGTAATGCCCAGTGCTATTTCTGTGTGATCAACTCTGTCATCTTACCTAATAAAAAAAATAGTATTAAAATCTTTGTAGATGCATTGTAAAGATTTCAATAATGCATACAATGTATCTACAATGTTTGACAAATGGATTGTGGATTTAAAATGTGCCCTGGAAGTTAAAGTGTTAGATTGTGACCGTTTGTTATGCATCCTATATAAGAAAGGTATACATTAATTTCTCTGTATCTTTTTTTTCCTAAAAATATATACCATGTGGCAAAAATGGAACATTTACCTTACTCAGTTTTAAATCAGTAAGGTAATTTCATTTGGGAGCTAGTGCAACGTATTCAAGGAAAATGTTTGACAGCTGACAGCTAGGAACTGAATTAGGTATGGAAGTGTGTAAGCATGGTTGATGAAATCCTGAAGGAGTCTGAGAAAAGAAACACACAAGAGCAAAAAATGAGTAGAGGCATAGAGGCTGATTGGACTCAAGTTCAAACAGTCAGAACAAGTTAAGAGCAGATGAATTCCAGACAGGTTATAATGAATACATAGAAGAAGCAAAAGCTAAAAACTAGAGTCACAGGTTACATGACAGCATAAGGCAGAGTCATCAGGCTCAGGGCCAGATTTGGTAACAACCAGAAGGCACAAACACTATAGAAATGGATAAGGATGCAATGCTTGTGGCACCGATAATGTGTAGTTCCCATGACCTTTTATGGTTATGTCCAGCTCTTATGGAAGTTTTCTACTAACGTGCAGCTCATTTTCTCTGCTAACGTCCAGCTCTGGCACTCTCACAAATCAAAGTAATACTTTCTGGTAACCAGTGGCTGACTGACAACTCATGGGGCCCCAGGCAATAGAGAATCATGGGGCCCCTGTGTCCTTGCCCAAACTCAAAAAAGCCTATGAAAAAGGTACCAGGGGCATTTCATGGGGCCCCCTACTGACCCCGGGCAGTGCCCGAGTTTCCAAATGGTCAGTCTGCCCCTGCTGGTAACATAGCACACTCTGGTGACAAACTTGAACAACCCTTCATGTACAGACTTTTAAACATTCCACTTTCTCACTGTCTAGTAAAACATAATTTATTTAGTAAGAACCATTTATTAACTGCTTGATTGCATGATGATATACATAAAGTGATGTGCATTGAACTATTTATTATAAAGCAATAGAGGGTTAAGGAAGGGGAACAGTTTAGAATATCTCCTGGCTGGAAAGTGAAACATGGGACTGAGATTGAGCTCTGCAGTCACTTTGCAGCAGTTGTTTTCTTATTCCCAGTAACAATCCTGCACAATGTCCTTTTGTCTCTTTCGGTCAGTTGACGATGTTGACCGCGCTTATGCTCATCTGATGACGTTTTCCCAGAAACTGTATATGCCGTCATAATCTTTGATACTGTAACTCATGACACAGCAAATAAATTGGCAACTTTAGTCACAGAGGCACCAGCTAAGCAGACACCAACAATTTGCCCTTTTTGATGTTCAGTAAGCTCTGACATGACTCCATATAACTAGCAGGGCACACAGTGAATGACAAAAGTGAGGCTTCCCACCTGTTAGCTAGGTGTCTCATCATACAGCGAAAGCAAAAGAAGGTTACATCACTTCCACTTTCAATGCAAAATATGTTGTCACTTTCACACCTGCAAATCATGTAGTGTTTCCATTTTTTTGTCAAAACCCTGTAGCTGCAAAAGTTTAGATGCTGAGAAACTGAATGGTTTTAGCACACTTGCTTTTCAGTTTTCTGCACAGCAACAACAGTCAGCTGATTTTGTGTATTGCCTTGGGATGATCTTGAACAAGCCACACAATGTAAATATAATTTTATCATGATAAAAGTACAAATGTATTTAAGTTCCGCTTTGCACACAGTGGATTCTACAAGTCACATATTTCTTTGTCGTTTAACACTATTCTAATATATTTAAAGTATCCAAGTATTTCACTGAAATAAATAATAGAAGCCTGCTTTGAAGAAACTAGGCATTGGTTTGAAATCTTTTTCCCTTATGTATACCTGATTGTCAAAGCATTACTGTTATCAGCTTCAAAAATAAGCTATGTCCTGTCTGAAATGCTGCACAACCTAAAGAATCAACAATATTTATTTTATAACAGTTTACTGTGCATTTCTGACTCACAAGACATACTGTTGTTAAAAGATAAAGGCTGTAGTATAAGAGAAAACATGTATATGGATAACAATGAACAGAGGAATCTGGTAGATTTGAAGTAGAGTGTCATAAAAGACTTAGGAGATTCCATCTCATCGCTGTCTGCAGCATTGTGATAAGGCAGTTGCCTATACTCTGCATGATGTTAAATGGAAATCACACAGCATCAGTGCTGTTCATGTGGTTCCACTGAATGTTCAAATGCCCTTCAATTTCTAGCAGCATCAACTTAGATTTTAAATTCATAGCAAATCCTATGAAACGTGTACTAAGCTCTTAGAGTAGTGTGTGCATTCAACATTCCTGGAGCCCATAATGTGATAAGTAAAGTGCTGTGATATAAATAATATTAATAGTGATGATAACAACAGCAGTAAAAATAATAATAATAATAATAATAATAATAATAATAAAAAAATAATTTCATGATCAAGAAACTATAATGAATACAGAAATGTGAAATAATAAAAGTTTTAGTTGGTTAATATTTCATTGAAAGCAATATTTTCAACACTTTTAGTACTAATCTGAGATATGCATTGAGTTTTGTCTCTTACAACTTTTATTTCAAATTTGCAGAATATTAACTATATGGTTGTTGTAGGTCAAAGGGGTTTCCACATTAAGTGGAAAACTATATACCACTCCTGCTCCTGAGTCATGTTAAGCAACCCTCTGTCGCTCTGTCAGATTCTCAGCTTTCAACTAATTAATTTGCAATAGCCTAGAGCACTCAACGCTTGTCAGCTTTCTACAGATAGAGGTCAAAGTTACCACAAAGCTTTAATAGATGTCCAGTAAAAGCTGACATGTATATAACTGAGCTTCAGCTGGCCATGACTCAATGTAAATGGGAGTTTTCCACTTTTTTTTACTGAAAGTTTAAAACTCTCCTTTGACCAGTGCTCACTTTTTGTATTGTAAGTTCTATATTGAATAGTAATTATCTAGATTCCTATCTCGGGAATATAGAATTATTAGACTTTATGTTGTGGAGAAAGGGGAGTAGATGAATAGTTTGGTATGAGAAAACGGGGCAGGACTGACAGCACTCAGTCCACAAAAACACTGTGGGGGTTATTTACTAAACCTGGAGAATGTGGTGCAGCCCTGCATAGAAACCAATCAGTTTCCAGGTTTTATTGTCAAAGCTTAATTAAACAAGCTGAAGTTAGAAGCTGATTGGCTGCTATGCACAGCTGCAGCAGATTCTGAGTGCACCAGTTTTAGTACCCCTACTCCTGTGTGTTGTCAGCCCATGACAGGACTTTGGAGTTGCATTTCTGGCTTCTGGCAAAAAATGGGAAATGTGTCAGTGTGTACAGCATATGTTTTGTTTTCCTTGATGTGAGCTTTGTCCAGCTATGAATTTTGTCTAGTATCCCATTATGGGAAGCATACATAGAGCACTCTGACAGAGAGGCTACATTAGATTGTGAAGTGATCCTACATTGCTTAGTGATTTATCTGTATAGAGTAGAAGAGGTATTTTGATTTTTTTAAAAAAGGCCAATGGAATGCCATATGTGGGCTATCTGTAAATGTTGTATTATAGCAGAAATTGGAGGAGGTGATAACAAAGGGTAACTTCACTTTTGTGGGAAAAAATATCAAGTAAATAAAATAATATTGCTACACAAGCCATACGGGCAATATGGCAACCTGGAGGTGTTCCGTACACCATTGGTACACGGAACACACCAAGAAATTTGATTTGTGCTTGTATGATTGGCTCAGCAATTTTCCCAGACATCTGCAAAAGATACAAGATTAGACATCTGTAACAAAAATTTCATTTTTGGTCAGGTTCTCCCAAAGGGTTATTCACTTCTTAATGGATTAAAGTGGAGCTCCACTCAAAAGGGGAAGTTCCGCTTTAAGCCTTTTTCCCCCACTCCCCATTAAGGATTGGCACCTTTGGGGAGTGGGGGGGGGGGGCGGGTACCCGAATTTGACAGGTACCTACTCCCACTTCCACTGCAATCGCCTAAGCAATCGGAAGTGGAAGTTGTCCTCCCCCCTCTCTCCCCATAGTCTTCTGGGATGTGTGACAGGTCCCAGAAGACTACGGGGCCATTCACAAAGCGCAACGGGCACCTGGCTGTGAAGCCACAAGCTGTCACAGCCGGGTGCCCACACTGAAGATGCCAGGGAGAGAGGGACACCGCTGGACCGAGGGACAGGTAATGTCTGTATTTTAAAAGTCAGCAGCTACAGTTTTTGTACCTGCTGACTTTTTTTTTTTTTTCTTCAGCTGGAACTCCTCATTAAGATTCTGCAATATCCTCTATAGAACACAGCATCAGCTGAGTAACAATGAAGAAGCTCTCGTTCAAATTCACATTGCACACACCAAATAGCCTTTTTCAGAGCACAAACGGGTAGCACTCTGCAACAAAGTTTGTTAAAATCCCTGAAATGTACATTGATCACCAAGCGGGGATTGTTTTTTTTCTCAACAAAAGTGGAATTACTTTTATGTCCATTATGTACCCTTATGTAATGTGATAAACCTACGGAATGCCCTTTTTAATTACGACACGCAGTGCAACAGTATTCAGAAGCAATCATCCTACAATTTAGTTTAGATTGAAGAGTGAATAAAAGTGAACTCTGGTTCCCTGACTAAGTTTTGAACTTTGCACATTATCATTGGTAATTATTCCATAATTAATAAGCCTGATAAATTTAAAGCAGCTTATTTTTTTTCCGCCATATCTCCTTTTCTAGTGCCCTGCCTTACCAGCTACACATATATAGCACAGTTTTCTGTTTACAGTTACAGACTTTTTAAGTAGACATAGAGACATAAAATCCACATTACAGTTAAATGGTAAATACTATATCATTGCTTTGTTAGCTATGTGCTTTGGCTTCTAAACAGAATGACCACTTATTTGGATGAGTTCCTAATTACTCCCTGCCTTTAGGGATCTTTGTAATGGTCATTAATGTACTGACATCTGTAATGTAGAAACTAATTATGAAAAGCCACACTTCAGCCCTGTAATATTCTCTTACATATTTGATTTTTTTTTTTTAGAAACATTGCAATTAGCTTGTTTGCTAAGCAAGAGACATCATTTTGTTCTACTTAGCCTGTGAAGTGTCTCTTTTGCAGATAAATGTGGAAGGGGTCCACTGTGACAGATGCAAACCCAGCACTTTTGGACTTCATGTAGGGAATCCACTTGGTTGCAGCAGCTGCTACTGCTTTGGCCTCACTACCCGGTGTACAGAAGCAGATGGACTAATCCGAATGTGGGTGAGTAGGAAACTGTTGAGCCATATAATACCATAATGTGGATTCCTGCTGGTGTATTTTAGTAAAACATGCTGAAGCAGCTAATACATGCCAAGACATTCAATATACTGTTCTGATTACTTACTTTGGTCTGTCTAACAAGTAACATTCTGGTTTGTTCAATAACACTATTTAAAGGAAAAGATACTAAAAATGTAACTATTAAATACAGCCTGAGTCATAATCTGCATCACCAAACAAAATTTATACTGCTACAGTTTACCATCACCACCTTCAGCATGAAGATACATTACCTCTTACAGGTGAACTAAGATGGCATATACAGTGGGGCAAAAAAGTATTTAGTCAGCCAACAATTGTGCAAGTTCTCCCACTTACAAAGATGAGAGAGGCCTGTAATTGGCATCATAGGTAGACCTCAACTATGAGAGACAAAATGAGAAAAAAATCCAGACAATCACATTGGCTGATTTGGAAAGAATTTATTTGCAAATTATGGTGGAAAATAAGTATTTGGTCACCTACAAACAAGCAAGATTTCCGGCTC